CAGTGAGATCAGGGTAAGAGCTCAGTCCAGTGCAGTAAAGCCCAGTGAGATCCGGGTAAGAGCTCAGTGCAGTGCAGTAAAGCTCAGTGAGGTTGTGGTGAGAAAGAAGCACGGTGAGCGAGGCTCTTGAAATCAGTGTGTCTGCCTGTGTCTGACCCACTGGCGAAGGTGACCGAACCGCAGGGGCCCGCGACCACACGGCCGGTTCCTGGCCCGACGCCCTCCCTCGCACCCGGACCCCAGCGCTTACCTGCAGGCCTGCGGAGCATCAGCACAACTGAGACCCCAGACTGCCTGGAAGGAGCCTGCTGGGCGTCGCCACATCCGCTCCCCGCCTCTCTCTCTCTCTCTCTCTCGTGCGCAGGCGAGCTGTGCTTCTCTTTCTCCTTCTCTCTCTCTCTTCCTCCTTCTCTCTCCTCTCTCTCTCTCTCGTGCACAGGCGAGCTCTGCTTCTCTTTCTCCTTCTCTCTCTGTCTTCCTCCTTCTCTCTCCTCTCTCTCTCTCGTGCGCAGGCGAGCTCTGCTCCTCTCTCTCCTTTCCTCAATTCAAGTCAAGGTGCTTTATTGGTGTGACCAATGAGTAAAATCAGGGTTGCCAAAGCAAAACAAATACAATAAACATGAAACAAATAAATCCACAAACATTTACAACACAGACACAATTATAAGATATCTACAGATGGAGCATTACTGGGAGACAGACTCACTGCTCCTCAGGCTGTGACAGGAGATCACATACTGGGCTGCAAGTTCAGCTGAGTTCCCTCCTCCCTCTCCCAGCAGGATTGGGACCCGTTGTGACTCTGGCAGGTGTGGGAACTCTGGAATTAGATTTGTAAATTTAGAGAAGAATGTTTCTCTAATCCCAGAGTATCTGTCGTGGTTCAGAAGAAAGTGCACCTCTGTCTCTATTTCTCCCCGCTGGCAGTGGGAGCACAGCCTGTCCTCTCTGTGGTCACTGAGCCTGTCCTCTCTGGACAGTCAGGTCTTCCTGTGTCCAGTTTCTATGGCCAGGCTGTCGTCTCTGAGCCTGTCCTCTCTGGACAGCCAG